TTTTGTAGGAATGGTCAAACCTTAACTAAAAAATCACAAATTAAACTTTATATCTTTTTTCAGCCAATGGCACGGATTTCTACTAGTATTTAATAACATTTAGCCATATATTGAAATTGAATATAAATAAAAATAAAAATAAATTTAATATTCTATAACAAAAATTACCTCTAAACTTTAAAAAAAATGAAATAATCCTTGTTTATGGACAAGAGACCACCTTAGACTATATTCAATATATTGAAAGTCAATTCTTAGATTATATTTTTATATTTACAATTAAAAAGAGAAGATCATGCAAAAGAGGGTTCTTATTTTTTTCAGTGCATTAAAAGATGTTAGTATGAGTATATACTTCATAAATATCTAAATATTGAATTCACTTTGATATAAAGATTTAATTATCTACCTTATAAGTAATATCAAAAAAAATTCTTTTAAGTCAACCATTATATTTTTATTTTATTTTTTATTTTTTATTTTTTAATCTTTCTTCTTTTGTATTTTTAATAATTTTTTTGCCACTTTAGTTTAAATTTAGAATTCAAATATTTTTCCTATAAACAAATTTGAACATATTTTGAATTTTTTAGTTATTTTTGTGAGTTTTCTAATACGAAAATTTAAAAGATACAAATAAAATACAATGATGTGTATTTTTATGGCTTCTTTTTCATCATAAATTTTTGGATTTCGTCTTTCTAATTAAAAATTGGTAATTATTACAAATAAAGAAGATTAGACTAAAAGTAGTGTCTAGCAATTTAGAAATGTAATTATCACTTGATCAATTCTATCTATCTATCTATCTATATATCTATTTGAAACTGAGATTTTTATTACATAAGTATATAAATAAATATATATATATATATATATATATATATAGATATATATATATTCTAAAAAATTTAAATACTTAGATCAATATATTTTTAATATAAATCTAATTTTAATTTTAAAAGCATATTTAATTTTAAACAAATAAGTCTATGTTTTTAACTCAAAATGAATGTATACTTGTGTGTATATTTATTTAATGGGTTTTTTCTTTTTTATTTTTTAATTTAATATTTATAAATATTTTAGCTTACAATAATATTTAATTTTATATATTTAACATTTTTCATAAAAATGAAAATAAATAAATGAGCAATGGACAGCTATATTATATTATTTTTTAATTAAAAATAATGTTTATATTACTATTAATATACATATATGTACTTGAATTAATATCATTTTTATTAAATTTTATTTTATTACAAATTAATATTTAGTTTTTATAGTATTTGAAATATAATATTGAAACATATATTGTGATTATTTCAAAATTAAGATTTTATTCCAAAAAAAACATTTATTAGATGTTTTGGCCATAATATATATATATATATATATATATATATATATTTATACGTATATTATAAAATAATTACTAATAATATGGTTATATCACATTAAAAAGAATCAAAGACTTTCAAATGTACTTTTTGATAATACTTTTACAATTACTAATCATTTAGAAGAGATATTAGAAGCATGATACCCGTTTGCATATTATGTATTATTCACATTTGCACAATATGTGTACATTCTTTTTTAGGTTACAATAAATTTTCCAATTCAATTCATTACAGTTTATAATATTATATATATATATATATATATATATATATAATGATTGTAACACTTTAAATGTAAAAATTAAAGATATTCTTTTTTTAAGCTTCAATAGAACTTAGAGTTTTTGTCACTGTCTGTTTTTTTATTTCAGTGTAGATCTTATTCTTTGACCTTCTTGAATGTATTTTAAAAACATTCTATCATGGTTTGAGTTTATTTTAATGCTTTTTAAACTATAAAGTTGTTTCAATTAGCTTACAAAGTAAGTTGGGTTTCTTATGATTTAATTTTAATTCATTATTCTACTTCAAACCTTTGGAAGTGTAATATTTGTAGAAATATTTGTTCAAGCTTATTAAGTTTTTATAAATGTTTTTATTTAAGAAAAATCTATATATAAATGACAAAATTTCAAAGATTAATTAAGATTTTAACATAATCTTGCTTGTTTTTTTGAAAATATTTGAAATTTCGTCTAAATTTAAACTGGTATTTTTAAAGTATTTTAGATTAAAAAGGACTCTGCGTGTTTCTTATTTTCTTTCCTAGCAAATATTCTTCCTGAATTTGAAAACTTTGTCTTTAAAATTTTCTATCATGTTCTATTTACTTCTATAAATTGATATAATATTTTTTAAAAGATAATTATACTAATTCTATCTATTGTTAAAATATCTAATGCTTGTATATATATATATATATATATATATATATAAGAATTAATCTTATCATGAAATCCTTCTAAATTATTATTTAATCTAATCTACAATATTCTATTGTCTTTCTTTTTTTTGAATATCAGAATTTAAATTTTATTAAATATAAAATTAAAATTACTTCATTTTTTTTAACTCTTGCTCTATCTAGATTTTATGAATGTTGTAGATTTTTATTTGTAGTATAAAAATTTCCATCTAATTATAATGACTTCTTAATTATTAATTATTTTTTATTGCAAATCTTATATTTTTAGAGTAGTGGAATATTGCATTTGATTTGAATGCTACTAAAACAATTACTAAACTAAGTTTCTTTTGGTGGATTGTTTGATTTAATATCCTTTATATGATTTATTTAATTATACTAATAATTTTTATTCTTATAAAGATAAAAAGAGATATCCTTAAATCCAACATTAATTGCACTAAGAAATTTTGTACACTCCCTATTAATGGTGTCTAGTCTTTTATATTGCTAAATAGTATTTTTTATGACTAAATAATATTTATTATATTTTTTTAGTCTATCATAAGCTAAAAAAGAAGTTAGAAATTTTTTAATAAAAAAAGAATAAATAATAAATTGTATCTTTATATAAAATCTATTACCAATTTTGTTTTTTTTTTAAAATTGTATTACTAATCTCATATTATTATCAATTCAAAATAATCTGATGATGTTAAAGCTAGATTAACTTATTGGACCATATTAATTTATAATTATATTATTTTTAGTAAGTTTGCAACTAATTTGATTAATATTCTTCTTAGTATAGAGTCTATATATAAAGAAGTATTAAGTTTTAACATAGTATTAAAGTAGGAATTTTGGTTCTAGGTTGTAAAGAATGTTTAACTAGTTGAATTTATTTTTTTTGTATAGCCATTGGCATTGCTCTTAATGCATCCTCTTTTAAATGGACAAATATGCAAATGGTCTTATCTTACATATAAATTGTCTCAATATCTTAGTTTGGTTTTGTTGTACTAGTATTGCTACCTCTTCTAAATTGTCTTTAGTTTTTGTATTGATATTTATTATTTCTAGTAGTAAAAATTACAACAATTCTATTATAAGTGATGTTGGTACTATTCTCTAAATTATATTCTAACCATTTGACAAGTTAAAAAATCTATATATTTTCTTAATATTTTAAATTAAAATGTCTATTTTATTTTCTTAATATGTACATTGTTTGATAGAAGAGTATTAGCTCTATACTTGACGTTTATATTAAGATGTAATTGAATGCATACAAAGAATTGTTAGATTCTTTATTTTGCAATTGATGATTTTTTCTTAAAGAGATATTTAATACTTTCTTAGTTTCTATAGAAATTAAGGCTTTATCTATAATTTTTTTGATGCCTTTAAATCTATCTATTCTTTATGTTGTATTTTGTATTAGGTAGACATAGTCTTCTCTATCAAATTTTGCAATAATATTAATTATGTGTGATTTATGCGGAGTTGAATCCTTGTCAACTGTCTATTATTGTACTAACTTATATAGTTATCTTAATTTTAAAATCCAAATATAAGTGAAAATTTGTTTCTTAAATACTAAAAATAAAAATTAATTATCTATCTTTTATCAATTAATTTTTAAGTTTTTGTTGATAATACATCATTCTTTTGTATATCACCATTTCATATTTTTAACTTGTTATCTTGGCTATAGTAGTATTGACAATGTCAAATTTATGGGCAAAATATAATTTTTTGACAATAATTACTTTTATTTTATTTTTTATTTTTTTTCATATGTCTCATGAAATTACAAATTTATAAACAATGTTCTAATGATTTTAACATTTGGGTTTTAAGAAGGTAGATGTTGCTTGAATATATATTAATCATTACATATTCTAAGAAGAAACAAGAAACAAGAAAGAAATTACATGGTTGTAATCTTCTTCTTTTTTTAAAAAATATAACACATAGAATTTAATCTTGATTACATCATTTTATTTTTTAAAAATTAATATGTGTTGTTCCAGCTAGTACTCTTTGTTAAGCTATTCTATTGCACCCATAGGGTTCCAAACGCTATTCATGGTGGCATCAGCAATTTGTAATCTTTATTACACACATGTTTTTCAAATATCACATTGTTTTAAGTTATTGTTTTTGACAAATCATTCCTTAGACTATTCTTCCTACCTTTGGTTTTCTACTTATCATCCTTCAACTATTAAAATTGTTTGCTTAGGAATTAAAAGATAGTATATCTAAAATTGGGTTACAATTACTGTACATATTAGAAGAACACTATATATCTGAATCCCTAAAAGTATCGCATTTCATTAATACCAAGAAATGCAAAGAATACCTTTGTCATAATGAAAATAGAAAGAAACACGTTCCTTAGCAAAAACACATAATCATGAATGCAAACAAACTGAAAAAACAAAACTCGAAGAAGCGACTTGACGACCGCACAATATCTGGAACAGATGGATCACGCAACCAAGCCAGTTTTGGACACCCACTGACGCGGACGAGATTAGGGTTTCGCAGCGGACGGACGAACGAACGAACGAATGAACGAGATAACGAACAGATAGATGGACGGACGGACGCCAACAGCACCACGTTGCACCAGCAGGACCAACACCAACACCAACAGCACCAGCCGCGACGTCGACGAAGGGCGGCGTCCGTCGAAAGCGGGATGGCAGACGAAAAGGGACGAGCAAGGCGACGTCGAAGGAGGGGGGGAGACGAAAGCGGACGGAATCTAGCGTCGAGGCGACAAAATTGGCGCCACCCGTTGAGAAGCCATGGGGACACCGCGTGGGAACGACATCTGGCGGGACACCCACAAGGCCACAAGGCCTCCTCCTCCTCTGCCCTAACAATAGGCCGAACCGCGATCGACTGAAATCAGGTCCCGTTCAGGATTACGTCTCCTCTGGGGATGATGGATCGCAGGCAAGACCCGACGACTCTCTATTGATTAGTGTAACGAATGCTGGTGCTGTTGGTGTTGGTGCTGCTGGTGCTGCTCTCGCATACCCATCCACTAGCTTCCCCTGCTCTACCGCCCCCCTGCACCGACCCACAATTCGTCTCTATCGGTATTGGCAATTTCTCTGGGTTATTGCGCTTGTTGGGTGCGTCGATGTTGGAGTCGTGTTGTGTGCGTTGAAGCGATCAGGGTAATACATATATATATATTTATATATATATCAATGGTGTCGTGGCCCTGGGAATTGTAAAACGTTGGGTGCAGCTGGGTGATAGGCGTTTTAGGGTTTGTGGGTTGATGGGTGTATGGCTTTTGTGTCGCTGAGTGGAAGAGTGCTGCAGCGAATGATATGTGGGACAAACGCCTAGTGGATCAAGGTTTGGGAGCTGCTGTGAGAGGAATTTGCTGTTGGGCACCATGCCAGAGGAGCAGCGGTCCAAGATTTTCAATGCCGCGGCAGGGGCTGGTGCAGGTGCGTGCCATTTTTATTTTTTTTTAAAACTTATTTTATTTAAAAATATTATGTTTTGTAAACGTCAATTGACATGTCAGTGCTTTTCGTTTTTGGGATGTTTTTGGTCTGGATTTTTTCTTTTTTCTTTTTTCTTGTTACGCACCGCATAATGAGCCACAGAGGATGTGGTTAATTGGGCGATATTGGTATCCTCTCTTTTTTTGTGTTAAGCCAGTGCTGCTGTGTTGGAGGAATTTCTGTTTGAGAATTTGATCGGACTCAGCATGGTGTGTTACAAGTATAGATTCTCTATTTTGAACTGGGGTCAGCTGTGGAGGTTACTTCTGCCCAGGGCAGAAAACTTCAAGAGCCTTCAGTATTAGAAATGTAATCATCTGTGTGTGGATGATTGCAGGAGCCATTGCCGCCACTTTTGTCTGCCCGCTCGATGTGGTGAAAACTCGATTACAAGTTTATCGGCCTACAGTCTCCGAGGTTGGTCTGAAAGGTACTTTCTATGACTGTCATTCTTACGTCGGTCTAGCTCGTAGGCAAAGGTGTTGAAATTCAAGTTATCCAATTTCGACCTCTACAGAGAGGTGATCAATATTGTGTAAAGACTACACATTGTGTTTTTTCTGTCGCTTTTCATTTGTATTTTTCTATTCTTTCATCTTCTTTCTTCCAAACCTCTCTGTCTGGATCAGGGAAAAAATTGGGGTGATACTTACGAGGTGTGAATGGAACGAGAATTCGGTATCTTTGCTAGTGATGGCATCACCTCTTAACTTGCTAACGAGCCTGAGTGGAAAGAGGCACGTTGACGTAGGGGGTAATCATTTGTTTGTGAATCGCCTTTACACCAGGGACTATTGACAAACTTAACTGTGACGTGCTACAGGCGGGTTAATAATCGGAAGCCTGTCGACCATTTTTAGGGAGGAGGGTGTTAGGGGTCTATACCGTGGTCTTTCACCAACTATGGTGGCTTTGCTTCCGAACTGGGCGGTCTCTCTCTCTCTACTTTCTTTTTCTTCTAAATGAGTACGATACATCACTGCTATACTAGGCGCATACTTTTAGCACGTCCTAAACCGTTCGCATGAGTTTTATTCACAAGTGTTTTCTTTTTAGATCAGTAAGAGATTCTAACTTTAGTTTGGTTTTCAATAAATTCATTTCTGTCTATGGATGGCCAAGCAACTTGATAGTTTGTATGTCCACTGGGTTTATGTTAGTATTAGGCGCCTTCTATGTGTCTACTTTTCTGAAATCGTTGTTTTGTAACAGATCTCACACTCCCTCTTTCTGTCTCTCTTTGCTGGCAGGTTTATTTCACAACTTATGAGCAGCTGAAAAGGATACTGCAAAGTGAGGCACACCATAATCTTGGTGAGTGACGTTAATAATAAGCTTACTTCGATGCAAAATCTGTGTTATCTCACTCTGGTTGACGCTCGGTTGTGTTCTTGGCTAGGCCTCCCTTATAATGGGATTGTGTTAAGATTTATGGGATTTTGTATGCCGCATGAACACTTCCACTCAGTTAGTCTGTGGGTGCAGCTCACACAAGTGACCACAAGATGACCCCTGCTGCCCATGTTGCGGCTGCTGCGGGAGCTGGAACAGCCACTATTTTGGTTACGAACCCGTTATGGGTGGTGAAAACCCGACTTCAGGTGCGTTCTTTTCCCATTTTCACTCTGTTGTGCTGTTGCTACTTTTAGAATCGCTTATCTTTGTATGGATGTAGTTGAGAGGTTGAAGGACGTGGATTTTGTTTCTCGTTTTTCTAATAAAATTTATGAAAAGCATACTTCAGTTGCCTGTTGCCAACTTATTTAATTGATTTGTTTGCAGACGCAACGCTTGAGAACAGACATAGTGCCCTACAAGGGTACATTTTCTGCTCTCAATCGAATATTAGCCGAGGAGGGATTTCGAGGGTTGTACAGGTGCACTTGATGCCTTCTTTTCAAACACAAGACATTTTAGTTTCTCAATCTTGATATGTTTCAACTGGTTGTATAACCTTAATTTTTTACAAATATGAATCAGTCGCACAAGACATATGGCACAGAAAACGAATCATGATATGGCGTAACCGTTTTCTTTCACCTTTTTGTCGGGTAGTCTGATTTTTTTTTTCCTTTAATAAATATCTCTTTGAGATGTGTGACACTAACAATGTCATGTTATTTTGCTGGAGCAGTGGGATAGTGCCAGCTTTGGCAGGAATTAGTCATGTAGCTATACAATTCCCTGTTTACGAGTATTTGAAAGAATACTTTGCTCAGAAAGGTATGTCTTTATTTCGTGCTCAGTTTATAAAGATTCATGCTTTGGTGAGGAGATGTTTGGCTTCGATTACGCGGACCTATGCCTTGACCGTGCTCAGGAGGAGATCAAGACAACGTTAAGACCTGGTTATGGCATTTCCATCGATTAGGAGCTTCGATTTCGCTAATCAGTGCTAGTAATTTTGTGTAGATGGGACAACAGTAGAGGCATTGAGCACTCGTAACGTAGCAATTGCATCTTCACTCTCAAAAGTGACAGCTTCCACTCTTACCTACCCTCATGAGGTGCAGATTCTCACCTGTTCATTGAATTTTTTTTCTTCTGTTCCTTAAGAAACTGGTGAACGCTTAGTGTTCGGTTATTCTTGATAATTTTGCACTTCGATATGATTGTTCTCAATGTACTGGTTGTATATTTCCTCTCTGTAGTTGCATGTGAGGTACAGATGCGAGGCTGAATATGGTGGCAGGTGGTTAGGTCAAGACTCCAAGAACAAGGCTATTCAAAAGGTGTGCACATAAGGTATACAGGAGTTGTGGACTGTATCAGGAAAATATCTATTGAGGAAGGAGTTAAAGGATTTTATCGGGGATGCGCGACCAATTTGATGAGAACTACTCCTGCAGCAGTCATCACCTTCACAAGCTTTGAGCTAATTTTGAGGCATCTTCACACATTATTTCCTGTGAAGCATCAAACAGGTACAGGAATCACACGGAAAAGGACTTGTAAAGAATCCATTCTTTAGACGCATTGATTGTTCCAGGTCATTTCAGCGATTGTGGTGCTTCCAGAATGGGGACAGTCTGATTTGTGCAGTTTGACTTCCGTAAGACATTAACTCGCAGTTTCTGGTTGCCTGACTTTGACTTACAGACTTGTTGGGAAGCTGAAATGAGTACCAAATTTGGAAGAGGTTGTCGGGCACTCAACTTGATTTGCAGAGACCTAAGTTTTGTGTCTTCTATAACTAGCATTTCATTGTTCCAGGTTATTTTCAGAAGCGATCAGAGTGAACGCTAGGTCGCATCTGCTCTTCACCTTTAGCGACTGTCGCTTGACTGACTAATTTAGATTGTTATTTAGCATTTACTATCGGGGCTAATGGTCCAGTAATGAGCCTACATGGTGCACAATCTCGTAGTGTTAGTATCTTCTGTGGGAACGTAGATGATATGAGATTTCTTGACTTTGGTAATGACGACATTCCTTTTGACTTGGATTAGGTCAATTGTACCAATAGAACAGCACCTCTCTTGATGTGCCTGCGTGAGATTTTTTTTGTTAAGTACATTGGTAACTTTCTCTTCATTACTGCACATGCTACTTAATATTCAAATAGCAATCAATTGGATGCAGGACCCGGCTAGATGTAAGTTTGGTCCTGTTAGCTGCACACGGGCGCCCAGACTGAAAAGTGAAATTTATTTGCACAAGTCTGCCACAGCAAAAGTGAAGATCTATGAATGCTGCCGATCAGCCGTGAGGCTGGGTTATGCTGAGAACCCTAAGATCCTGATTCAAAGTAAGCACATCTTCAAGGACTCCCGTGTATTTTGCTTTAACGTATATGGACGTTCATATGGTTCTGGTATGTGGTTACGTTAAATTGCTAACATCGTCACGCTGAGAGATACTGCTCAATAGCTTGGATCAGTTCGTAACTGATTTTTAGGGTGATTTGTAATCGCTAGCGATCTCAATGCCCTTGTTTATGGACAGAATCTACCAATGCGTTTTTAAGTGTAATCACATATGGTGACTGCGATGGACTTGCTTGCTTGTGATTTGTAGAACTGTTGGGAACTTGGAGTGCTAGCGCCATGTTTGCCTCCTTCCCAAATTTAGTTGTCTTTTCCAGTAAACATGGAACTGATACAGGATTATTCCGCACAAATGTGTAATTACGCAGTGACCATCTTTGATGTGTTGCTCTGCCTTGCAGTTGCTATGGATCTGCCGAGTAAAATTGCGATAAAGACACGAAATTCAAGTTAGGAAGGTCACTGTTTGTGTGTCCAATATATTCCGGTAGTATTATTAGCTGTTCAGAAAGCTTGCCACATCCAGTGATGTACAAGCAGTCAATTTTATGAACAGGCAGCTTAATGTCTGCACAGCACCGGAACAACCTTGAGTTATACAGGAATACATGACAATTCAATGGTGCCCCATAAACCAAATTCGCTTTTTGGTGCACTAGATTGAAACTCCGATGCACGAAGCAAACTATGCCTTTCAAACATACACTCACGGTTCTCGGCATTATCTTTCGTTGCAACGTACAAGCATTTCCACTGAGCTATATTGTCGTTTGTACCAGGAATCACAACGTGCACATGAATACGCACATTCAAAGCCTTCATACGTCAGGCCAGAGCTTCGCCTTGTGCACTGACTTGGTTGGAAACAGAATGGCCGAATCAGAATTCGCCACCAGACAAGTTCCCCGCTTCAATTCATAGACATGTGCTGCAAACGCGCCACTGATGGAAGAGCTGCACCCATTGATAAAGGAATGATGGATCTGCCATCTCCGGAAATCTGTGCCTGGTTACGCTCTGCTGCCTGCTCAACTCCGGACGACTACTTTGAAGATGGCCATTCCACATCATCCTCCTGACAGTTACTTGAGAGGTTCTTCAAGCTCTTAGCAATCTCTTCAACAACTCTTTGAGCAACAATAGACCCAAACTCGCATTTCTTGACTGTTTGAATTACGAATTTCTTGGGTTAGACATACACATACGAACGTCCCCAAAAGTAGCAACTCCCACCACCTCGCCTCGGTAATCTACTGTCGGAGATCGTAATCGGTGTCTTAATTGTTTCGATAAACCATATTACCATCTGGCAGTGTGCAGCTGGGGATGGGGGAAAGAAAACTTCGGCGCAAGAGCTCGCTGTCAGCCAGATAGTCTGAAATATTCGGCATGGCTGTAAAAAAAAACACTGCGAGTCCACAGATGCTAGAGCAATTCGACGTTATAAGGGAACTAAGATTCCCAACAGCTTCAGCGTAAAAAAACCCACTTACGGTTCATTTTAGGTCTAAACAAAAGAAAAAAGCGTCCTGCCAAACGAGTAAGAAGCATCACAATCAAGACTGCAAAATCTTGTGCAGAAAGCGTTGAAAAAAGCGTAACCTGTATCAGGCACGACGTCCTCGCTGTGGAATGAAGACAGTACAGTTTACAAAACATCTTGTCAACGGAGATGTACTCCATGTAGCCATTCTACGCGTCTAACTGTGCGATCACTTGCAGTCAATCCAAACCCACTGACACCCAAATCACACACTGTTAAGACCCACCAACACTGCATGAAGGTTTGCCACCCATCGCCGTGTCTGAGGGCTACGCACCAGCTCCTAGCAAGACGAAGGAAGGCAACACAAACCTGGGCAGGAGTAGATTTTCCCAGCCAGTGCCCGAGCTCCTACATGAAAATAACACGTAGAGGGGTATGAATCCTTGCCTGCAGCTCTCCGCGCCGAGATGGTTCGGTGGTAAAATCCTCGTCGCGGCGGAGTTTCCAAAGCGATACTGGGTGCACCGGCGTGGAGACTGCTGCCGACTGGAGGGGCTTGGAATCAGACGATCGCCCTCACGATTTCATTGCAAGATTTCAAGTGATGCGTTCGCCGTCGGTGGGTCTGTGGATCGGAGCCTGCGGGCTCACATTGGCGGCGGCTTCCGGCCACCGACACTTTTCTTCGGCACTGGCTTGAGTGAGGGCGAGCGGGGTCGGTGCCGTTGAATGGATGAATGAAAGTATCAGGCTGACCCATTATTGGATGCAATCACATGGATGGATGTAGAGGGAGTAGCGTGTGATCCTTCGTAAGAACATGTGAATTTTCTTTCCCATTTTAGACATGATATTATGTCTTTTGTTTTTTTCTTTTTTTTTTCTTTTTTTGGGGGGGAGGGGGTCATTCTTTGTTTACTTATAAAATTAGGGAAGCTTTTGTCATGAGTGTCTATATACTTCTTCTTCTTCTTCTTCTTCTTCCCTTTTTTTTATTTTTTATTTTTTTCTTTTTTCTTTTTGTCCTATATTCTAATTGTGTTAAATTTTTGTTGTTGAATGCAAATATGGTATATGAATAAGGTTGGTATGGAGTGAATTAACCTTGGATGAATTTCCTATAGAAAATGTTGAGGTTCATTTTTGTAATGAACAACTGACATTGTCAAAATATATACATGTTACTTATTGTCTTCCATGTTTATTAAGACATTTTCTTATTCTTACCCAAAGTCTTTTAAATTTATATTTTTCCTATATTTCGATTTAATTTTTCCAATGCCTCTCTTCCTGAATTTAATATTCCAGATCAAAAATGTAAATTTGGATTTTTTAAAAACCCCAAAATTCAGTATATTCATTTAAGATAATGCAAAATATGATTTTTTAATAATATAAGTATATTAAAATTGAATTAATTTTTCATTTTTTGATACACACACACACACACACACACACACATATATATATATATATATATATGTTAAACGAGAAATTTAAAAAGGCCCATCTAATATGTTCCATTTAGGTGTAGCTAAAACCCCTAAATAAGAGCTAAATAAATGAATAAAATAAAAAATACAAATAATTTGATTTTATTTATAAAATAGATTATTAATGAATCAATAACAGGAATGTTGATCCATCTTGTGCTCCTTCCTTTCACTCTTTTGTGCACCCACGTCATGTTTGCTTAAATCTAACTAAACCTTGGATCTTATACATTCATTTCCCATCTTCAATTCTCCTTTTTCATGCAATTTTAAGGAAGTATCATGCAATTTTTTCTAGTTGTTAACAGTATCTAAAAGTGACATCAATGGGGGGAAATGTACACTTGAATTATCTTTAATTGAAATTTCCATAAGCCTAGCAAACAAAAATCAAGTCAGTAAATCCTACAAAAAAAAAAAAAAAAAAAAAAAAAGGAAAAAAAGAAGAAAAAACAATCTGAATTTCATTCGATTTTTAGTTAATTGATGCGTGGTTTTATTTTTGGGATATCATTTTTTGTGTGTAAATTACAAAAATATATCGAACTCACAAATACTCAATACAAAAAAATAGTTTCTTATTTATTCAATTGAATTTATAATAGTTTGGAATTTTAAGAAATCAGAATTACAATTGTAAAACTGTGAAGGAAAATCATGTTAAATTCTATGTGATATTTTTTGATAGGTATAATTATCAAACAAGATTCAATATCAAGTCTTTTCATGCTCTTATCAAAGCAGAAAAAACTATATTTATTCAATAATATCACTGAACGCAATAGATTATGTAGAATAATGATGCTGAATGTGAATTTGGCTTGCATGTTCTTGAATATCTAAATCTGATTGACAAGAAAAATCAAAATTTTGATCTCAAAATGTTAAAAAGAATTAGCATAAAAATATAACAATTCTTCATAATTTATTTTCTAGTTGATATATAAAAGAAAAAACATTCTAGTCATAGAATGCCATAACTACCTTCATGACAAAAAAATAAAATAAAAAATGCTTATATATCACTATGATTATATTTACCCTTCTTGGAATACTTTTGGAATGAGGTCCCATAAACTTGTTCTCAATGTTGATTCCTTTATGTTTTAAAACATCTTATCCCCTTGTTCCATAATCTACCCTTTGTAAGGACCATTAATGTTTGTCTTTGATTTATTTCTGAATTCTATAGCACCCCTTATTTCAATACAGAGTATATAATTCTCCAAACAATTATTTTGCAATCTTCCACATGAACATGTTGATCCCACAGAAGATGAATTCTGACCCATTTTTCAATCACTTTTATTTTGACTGGACCTCATAGACTATTGCTATTTACTTTGAAAAGTGTTATGGAAAAGTAACAATAACAATAAATAACTACCATATCTTAAAATAAATTCATATAAAAAATAATGTAAATTAAAGCATTCCTTCAAAGAGCTCCTTATTCACTCCATTGAGACACGCCAAAATTCACCTCACAAAAAACCACTTTCTCAAATTCATTTTATAAATAATTGCATAAGCACAAGCCGGGCAAATTCCCTTCTACTTTTACATTTGTTCATTAACTTATGTCTTCTTTGTTTATTTTGTTCATGGAACAAGTAACTCATTGCTTTTTTGTGATCAATACAACCATGTGTTTTGAACAAAGAAACATAGGAAAGTTTAAATTGATTGTGAAGATGAATATAAAATATTTATATTGAATATTTCCAGGTAATGACAATGAAAATAGATTATACTGGTATGATTACATATATTTTTTTATAAATGCTTTCTTCTTTTGTTTTTTTAGGTTAATTGATAATGTAACAAGATTTTGATAAAAGTTATTGTTAATTTTTCACAATTAGAAATAAATAAATATATGATAGTAAATTTTAATATGTACCATTATCTGATTTTTTATGTTTTGAAATAAGTAAATAAATCTATTACACAAATATTTGTAAAATCAAATATGTGCATCTAGAAGTTTTTATTCCGAAATTACTTATGCTTAGTATTTATTTATTTATTTATTTGATTCTTTTTCAAAAATAATCTTGAATGTGTAAAAGCTTATAAAATACTGTTTAAATTTCACTAAAAATCTTTAAAAGAAGAATATATTTTACGTCAATGAAGCGAAGACTTGTGTTTTGGTTGTTTTTTATATTTTGACATCAAAGGAACTGAAGAATCAAATAATGCAGTCTCACCCACATTTCCATTTTATCATTCAATTCATGACTAGAGTCAGTGCAAGATCAGTTTTGATGCATGCATATATATATATATCTTACTTATTTATTTATTAAGAAAACATACACCACAAATATCCATCTTGTCTTCACGTTACAAGTGAAATACGAGAAATATTCCTCATCCAATGAATGTGTGTTGGTGTGGACTACCCCACATTTTGTTTTCAATACGATGCTATTCTTGAATGGGAGATGAGGTCAAACATTGCAATTGAATCACATTTTGTTGACTGCCTTGCATAGTATCAAATCCTCCTCAAGCACTATTCACCATTATTCAACACAATAGATAGATGGAGTATAAAAACTTTAAAACTCAAGTGATCATGTAAGGGGACTCTTGTTCAATAATCCACTCTTATTGGAATCTTAACTTATGATAAGCTAGTTGGAATTCCAATGTGCTATTCACAACACACATACACCATAATTCCATGCTTCGAAGAATGTTGTGTTTCAAAATCATAAAAACATAATGTAATCTCCTTCAAAGTTGGTTTGTAAAAAAAGAGTAAAGAGTTTTAAGATATGTATGCATCAATATCAAGAAAAATGAAATTATGAAGGATTCAAAGGAGTTAGGGATATAAAAAAGAAGAAGAGATTTGCTTCTAAATCAATGACATGCGTTCAAATAGCCTTGAAATACTTTTGGACATGGATGTCATTCCCAACAAGTTAATCTTTTGATTACACTACTAAACAAACATATTTTAAAGATGAAAAGAAAAGTTGAAGATCACCTTCATTGAAATTTGAACAATTGGGTACTTCAAGACATGATCCTCAAAAAGCAATACAAAAAGGTTCTATAATGGTGCACAACACCTCTCACCGAGCTAGCATACCATTCTTCTCACTTTATTTATTTATTTATTTCCTTTTCCTTTTCCTTCGGTTTATCTCACAAGATCTCAAAAATGTCTTGTGCGTTCCCAGCCATGTGTTCCCCACGACGGAGTCCACGAGGCAGCTCCCCTTTTTTGAAAATTCATCATCTTCTTCTTCTACTACATCTCCTTTCACCAGAACGCTGTTGCTGCCGTCCTTTGTGGATTTTTGGACCCCGAGGAATCGAGAATGTTGTATTAGTTTTTTTTCTTTTAATATCGCAGGCGTGGGTCTAAGTTGGATACAGTGCAATGCCAATTGTTGTTGTTGTTGTTGCTTGGATGCCGAATGCTTCGAGGGATTGTTGTGGTTGTGTGAGCGTGGTTTTCGAGGTGTCGCATTGCGCAAAGCTGATGCTGCTGATGCTGCACAGTGAGTGTCTGATTTTAACCACGGCGTGGATTCATGTATCATGCTGTGTTTGTGGTTCGAAGTCTACGGCAATCACCACCGACCTGCCCCAGTTACAAAGCTCTCCTCACAACCAGGTCCCCTTGCCAGTCGCCAAAAACCGTGTCGTAGAGCAGCAAGTTCCCTGCTACTTGTTTTTTGATCCTCTCCCCCCCACCCCCGAAGCATTTCTCGGAGGCAACTCTTTTTGCATGCATTGGAATTTGCAAACCCAGAGAGAAATGCAGTTTGGTCCAGTGGGATATCGTATGATGGCGTCTTGGGCGTGGCACCCACTCGCGGAAGCATTCGAAGCACACCGCATCGTATGGTTGTCACGCAACCATCGCCCCTACTCCCCCCACCCCCTCCCCAAGTGCAAATTGTCGAACAGGCTCAATATTGGGGGGAAAAACCAAAAACCCTTAAGGATAAGAAGAAGACCCAAAAAAAGAAACAAAAATCTTGAATCAATAGGGAAATCGGGGGGTCCGAGTGTGATGGAATACAGCTGAAGTGGCGATGAGTTCTCGACTTGGTCAATAGATTTGGCTGCAGTACGACGATTCCAGCGCAACTCGTTGAACCCTTGAGGGCCCTGCGGCGAAGACAAATGGGCGCAGCTAGCTTGCTTACGGGGAAGTGACATCCTAGAATTGAACAAGCCCTTGCAAGACTGTTCTCCAGGAGGGGTCAAGATGCCTGGGCTGGGCTGGCTGGCTTGCTCACGAGGGCTGGAGGAGAAGCAGATGAGGGTACTGTACAAATCACACACACCACTATCACAGAACACCATCAAATCAACGTGAGCGTGAGAATTTGCTGGGATCAGAAAAAAGCTGCCCCATGAAAGCAAAGCAACTGTTGACGCTCTTGTAGTGACTGACGATTTCGTCCATCCTGAAGAAAGTGAAAGAGAGGGAGAGAGATGGCCTGGGTTCGTCGTGACGAGCGGAACAGGTCTGACTGACCCAAATGTCGTTACCTTGTTTGAGCGATTTAGGTGAATCAAAAGTGTCACGGCAGGGAAAAGGGTTGAAGAATCAGCACGGGAGATTGCAGTCAAGAACTGCTTAACCTTGTTCTGCTCCGGGGTTGGCTGCCGAATGGCTGGGAGCGACCGATGTAGGCGGTCGTTACGACTAATCAGCAAGCTTGGTCTGAAATTAATGAAACGGGGAAACGATTTTTGACAGGTCTGTTACATGGATGTTTTACCAAACCGCGTGGAAACACACCCACACATACACCCACACAAAACAGCCAATAGGATGCGAGAGAGAGAGAGAGTGAGAGAATCTGTTCGCCGTTGGCTGGAATCCCTATCCTGAGAGTTTCGCGGGGCCTGGTTCGGCTGCTTTGGAAGGTAGGGAAACCAATGGGAAGCAGACTGCGCATCAGCGACGGGGCTGTGAACATGGGAACAGCGAGAGCCAGTAGGAAGCCAGCGTCGGAGTGCAGTGGCGGAGTTGGACGCATCGGAGAGCGACGATAAAACGAGCTCCACTTTCTTTAGCGCATCGGGAATGAGTGGGTGAGGCACAAAACTAGGAGACAACTCTCTCACAAAGGCGCCTGACAAGAGTTGGGTTGTTAGCAGACCCGGAACCGGGTTGGTTCGCCGCATCAAGACCTCCGGCGTCCATGGAATCCAACTAGGTTATTCAGTCTCTTGTGGGCCCGGAAAAAACGAAAAAAGCAATTCAGATCCAGGCGGTGAATGAGTTGGGAAGCCTCTTAAAACTACACCCACTACGTGCTGATTGGAATTTTCTGTCGACAGCAGGTCATTCTACATGACGCGAGGGATTTGGGGTTGGTTTCCCCGTTGCCCAAAATCCAGCTGTGAAAATTCTAGTGAGCAGAAGAGTTTTTCTTAGACAATACCTCCAACTGGTGAATCCGACGAAAATACCGCACGTGTTTATGTCTGTTTTTTTTTTTTTTTTTTTTTTTTTTAAACTGGGCAGCGATTGAATCGGTCCGCTTCGCCTGCTTCCTGGCGTCCATGAACAGAGAGGCATGCGACGACGTTCATCAACGTACAGTCGGACTTGACGAGGTCGTCGTCGTCGTCGTCGGTGGCAGAGAGGGATGTTAGATTCGGAGCTGGCGTTGCAAGCATTTTTTTTCGTTACCAAGGATTGCGCTGGCACCTCCACGCTTTAAAGGCCCTATCCCCGATCCTGTAACGGGGAGTTTCTGCCCCATTTCGTCAGATTGATCATTCGTCCGTGAGTTGCGACGCGATCTCATCATCATTGTCGATGGGAGAGTGATTGAATTAGTCCGCCTTCGACACTTTTTTCCCTCGACCTCTGGCATCTGGCGCTGCGAGGGACAACCATTCTTGTGCGCCTGGTTGACAAGGTTGAGAGGCCTTGCGACGCCGCGTGCAAGTACATATCCCCCACTAGGTGGTTGTTTGCTTTCTCACTTTGTTGCTAATGGATTTGGATGGTAGCTATCGTGTAGATCTGGTGTATCAATTGGAGAGCGTGTCGATTGATTGGAGGGTAGAGGGCCCGAGGGAGACAGAGGGATTCAGGGAAAGGCGATTGAGATAAATTGAGTGTGAATAACAGACGTCCATTGTCTCAGAGTTAGGTGCTCCGGCTCTGGGGGTTGGTGATCGTAATCGTAGGTAGTTTAAGTGGAGCTTCAATTTTGGAGCAGTGAATAAGCGCTTCCTGCTTAGAAGCGAAACGTTATATGTGTTGTTGATTTGAAAAAGATCACTTGTGGGATTTTGTCGTTGTTCTTGTTGCTGCTGCTGCTGCTGCCGCCGTTGTTGTGGTGTTCTTTCTCAGTACGCATCGAGTACGTGAAGGATTTGTAAAGTATTCACACCTCTGGCGAAGCTTTGGAAGTGATTTTGAGTGTAGCGTTACGGAGATCGGCTCTGCTCTCGTGGTTAGACCGTGGAAGCGGTCACAGTTTAGGGTGTTCGGATAGAAGTTTGAATAATTGGATCTTGTGAAGCAAGAGTACCAAGTTTATTGGGGGTTGTAGATAATGTAAGCCTTCACAAGGCTCAGCGTACTATTGCGAGTGTCTGCTGCTAAGATGCACTGGACCTCTGTCTGTGTTTTCTCCTGATCGAAATTTTGGAGATTGTGTCGCAACCGTGGATCGTTTATTGTATATAGTGTGCAGTTCTTTCGGATCGAGTACAGACAACATTGTCTTGACGGCCTTGGATGCATCGAATGCGTAGTGTTTGGTACATTCAAGAAAGGGAACAAGCGTATGGGGAACTAGAAGGTTGTGCGGATGGATTGCGTTGGGCGTATAATTGTCTCTTATGAGCTACTTGACAGAGGTTTTATGCTATCGTGAGAGCCTTGTAGCGGTGTGGAAATGGCATGGGGAAGCCTACAGCATGACGCAGCATTACATTGGAGTGCAACTGCACTGCTGGTTGCTTCTGTAGAAGTGTTCGTAACCTTATCAGTCCTCCTATGCGCGGTCCTTAACTTTTGTATTAACTCCTTCATTAGACTGTCTGGATTCCACATTCCTTGCACTTGCTGTACGCATCTTCAGAAAGAGCCATTGGAAAATGCAGTCAAGACACCCCTAAAAGATTTCGTAATTCCGCGGTCAAAGCCGATTAGTGCTCCTATTGCAAGTGAAGTGGGATTGAGCGATATCCGTGACAGCGATGATTTCTTGAGAGATGCCGATCTCAATAAGTCCTCAGATTTGTCTGCAGACTCTGCTTTATCCGAGAGCACGTCTGACAAGCCATTGTTGGAGGTGCCTCCTGAAGATGAACAAGAAGGGGCGGCGTCTGACGAGACAACCGTTCCTCCACCCGAACAAGTGAAGGAAGATTCCAATGATCGGATTCAAGAGGATGCGAACAGGGAGAATCATGCGAAGGATCAGGAGGCGCTGCAAGCTCTGCAAGCAGAGCGCGAAGCCATGGCTGCTCTTTACAGTGAGTTGGAAGAGGAAAGGAACTCTTCTGCAACAGCTGCAAGTGAAGCTCTTGCCATGATCTCCAGGTTACAAGAAGAGAAAGCAGCTATTCAGATGGAGTCTCGACAGTTTCAGCGGATGGTTATGGAGAAGGCCATGTACGACCAGGAGGCAATTGAGGTTTTGAAAGAAATTCTTGCAAAACGCGAGGAAGAACGACTTGCGCTGGAAGACGAAATGCAGCTATATAAGGAGAAATTAGAAGCCCTATTGATGGAAGATATGGACTCGGCTGAAAGAGATGGAGGAGATCATGAACGAGCCGAGCTTGTAACGACCGACAGAGTCATCTCCAATTCAAGACTTGCAAAGGAGGAGGAAACTGAATTCCTTGACAGACTGAACAAAACTAAGAGTCAGCTCCTGACTGCTCTGCTTGGGAAGGGTATTCCTGAACCTGCGAGCGCGTTTGTGGAGTCAGCGAGTTTTGCTAATGAGATCCATAAAGCGATGTCGAAAATCCCTCTTAGAGCTGAAAGCCTCCCAATACTGGATCAGGTTAACCATAAAAGTTCATTAGGGTTGGATGCGACCAGTTCAGGTCGTGAGATTGGTTTGGCGATTCCCTCCTCCATGTCCCATAAGAAGCAGACCGAGCGGGCGTCCGCGAAGGCCAAGGATACTGGTATAACTACTGATGAACCTGTGCTTGCCAGCCATGAAATGGGTCCCTCAACTTCCCTTATGACAGTTGAGGAGAGGAACGAAGAAGCCTTGCTAAGGGATGATGGAAAGGTCGCGGATGAACCTGTGTCTGGCAACCGTAAGAGCAGTCTTCCAACTCATTTCTTTGCAGCCGTTAAGAAGCAGACTGAGAAGACTTTGATAAAAGATGATGAAAAACATGATAAAAAGCCTGAATTTGTTAGTCTTTTGAGTTTGAAGAGAAGGTGGAGTGTTCGTGGTTCTCAAGAATTAGAGAGTCTAGCGAAAGAAAACAGGCGTATAGAAGAGAAGAGGTTGTCAGTGTTGGAGTATGTGAAGAATTTGGAAGAGCAACTTCAACAGCAACGAGGGAGACATGCTGCGCTGCATGCTAGGTCGACAAGTATAAGTGGAGAGGAAAATATTAGATTCAAGGATACTGGTCAAGTTGAAAGCAGCTCTGCTTCAGTGACTTCAGGAAGTTCAGAGGGACTTGGAAGAGATGACTCACTTCCGCGAAGACTGTTCGTGGACGGAGATTCCGCTGATAAAGAGTTCAGAACCCCTTTCCAAGGCGGGAAAGATCACCGGATATACTCGCAGCAGTACAGTTTCAATTCTGAAAGTGATGGCAAAGGCAGTAATGACGATGGGGAATTGTATGCCAACGCTGAGAGATCAGAAGAGCTTACTGACGAAGCTTTGTTCGTGCATGATGTTTATGAGGTGCAAAACCACCTTCACGAAGCTCCATCAAGGTTTGGCCTATGGGTTGCAGGCAGTAGGGCTAGTCTAGAGATACGTTCTCCTATTTCAGACCGCCTAGGGAAGCCAGATAATCTTGATTTTGAAGAAGAGAATACACGAAACAAGGAAGAACAAGATGCACAATTTTTGAGTGATGCCTCAGCCTTCCCACAAGCAGATGAAGACTTGGGCTTTGTGACCCAGTGGAGAGATATGAATAGAACTCAGCATGAGACTTTGCGCATCTCCACCTTGCGTAGAAACGAGAATTCTAGGTCTACAGTGGAAGAACAGGTTGAAAAGTTGACGGATCGTCTTAAAGCTTTGGAGGCTGATAGGTATCTGATGAAGCAGACAATTGACTCTCTGAGAAGAGAGAATGGAGAGATGAAACTCATTCAAGAGATTGCTCAGCAGTTGCGCGAGCTAAGAGGCATGGAGCAGAAGGAGATGCAGTCGATGGATTTGCCCCCTTCTCTGCACTTCCAGGTACCTACTCCAGCTTCAAGCATTATCCACTCTCAATGATGTTTTCACTTCGACTTTCCACGTGTTTTATTAATTTGGAATCTGATAAGTTGGGCATGAGGCTACCGTTCGCTTGGGTATTCAATGTCACCAACGGTTTGAGTACTGGCATTCAATGTTACGCAGTGATTTGTTTACTACAACTAGTTCTGTATCACTACTTTCCTTGCACATGAGAGTTGTGTCATGTTCTGTTGCTAACCTATGAAACTGTGATCTGTGAACTGCAGGCTGGTGTTGCCCACGTTGGCCCAAGAACATGTAAGAAGCGTCGATACAACAGTACTCCAGGAGCATCATCATGTAGGCCTGGTACACGTACCCCAGGGCATTCTCGTGGCTCTTCGAGGTCGCAGCTTGACCTGGGTGTAGACGGGGAAAATAATAATCTCCATTGTGTTGTTTAGTTAAGGGGTATCAATAGGACTGCTCAGTGAGAACTCGATCAAAACTGAACAGTTTCAGGTATAAAAGGTTCTGACGAGCTTCAGGTCGGTAATGGTGGAAACTCAACGTTAACTCTAGACGATCCTACAGATCCTTTTGCTGTTGTATGCGTATGGTGGACTAAACTTGGTTGGTTACAACTCTAAGGGGTAACTCTGCAGGTTTTGTACGATAAGCAGGAACTTATGAACCAAAATAAATTCTACCCTTCTTCAGGAAGGTTAGCGGTTTACAATCGTATCTCTCTGATTTTGCGTTTCTGTTGTGGAGATTGTGTTGTGCCTTATCTTGTGTATATAATGAATGTTGTGAACTTCCAAAAAACTGCTCTATTTTTCTTTTGTGCCGAAGGAAACTGCAGGTGCACAAACAATGGCACCACTGCATGTGTTCATCACAATTATCTGCATTGTTTAGCTAAAAGGCTCTCACTTAGCAAACCATGTTAACATTCCAATCTACCCGGACAAATAGCCTGTGAACTGGTGCCAGGTCCAGAGCACATAGTCTCAGTTAAATTATCTGTTAAGCTTCCGTGTAGGATCCATCTAAAGGTTTAACCACTAAAAATTATGACATGGATCTCTTCTAGATTTTGGTGCTGTATTTTTCCGTTAAACCACAAATAACATGATGTGGGTTCCTTCTAGAATTTGCTGCTTTACTCAACAATTGAGCCACAAGTAACATGATATTAGTCTATTCCAAATTATGCCGCTTTTTTTTTTCTTTTTTCTTCTTTTTTTCAGATTAACTGTATCAAGATTGTAATTAGTACTTGATAGTTGAGTAGTTCTAAATGTGACTGAGATTGTCAGCATGATATCCTTAATTCAATTGGTAACAGCAATAGTAAATTAATCAATGCTTCTTCTGAACACTGTATATCACATTTGGCTCAGTTTCATTGAAATACTGCAGATAACAAAATTAATCATCACATCTAACAGTAGAAGCCAAAGCAACTTCTGTAACGTCGGTGTAACTGATGAGTTTCATTAAAAAAAAATAATGAAAAATCACCGGAAGTTATTTCTTTTGAAGTTTTAGTAATTTGAAAATGTCATTTTTATAACAAAATTATTAAACACTGTATCATTCAATGCAGATATATTGAAGTCAAAGTTTGAGCAGCATTAGTATTAAAATCAATCCTAAAGAACTAACAAAGATTCTATGATTTCCATAATCAGAACGTGGCTTGCTTCATTCCCTCACTTGTAGCTTTACATCTTCATGCACATATATTTTTTTCTTTTAGAAAAATGATTTCTATATATTAAAAAAATCATAATTAATAATTAATAATAATAATTTTTTGTGCGCGTGTGCTAAACATATGATCATTGGTGCTACAACACTTAAATCCACACATCCAATTTCTAAGAATTCAAAAACAAAAGCCTTTCTATGTGCACTTAATATGTTTTTAAATTGTTCTACTTCAACAAATAGAAGAAAATTTGAAGATCTTATTTTTAATTCTTTGAATGTAATTTTAATAAATTTATTGCAAATCCATTTAAGATTTCTTAAATTCTTTTCTTTTTGTAGAATAGATATTAATTCGTTTTTGTAAGATATTGGTAAAATAGATTAATAGTCCATAGAATAGTCAGTTCAGGAGGATAGATTGTTGATTTAGTTATTAGAAGCGGTTATTATAGGATTACGGTTAGGATCTGGAAATCAATAGCAATTATATAGGAGTTGTAGAAGTTTATTGGGGGCTAGACTGTGATAGTCATGAGCCAGGGTTAAGCTTGGTGCTACCTCTTTGTTCTCTTTGTTTTCTTTGTTTTCTTTGTTGTTGAAGAGTAATGGATAATTTTTTGAATGATGAGAAGTGAATCTATGGAATAAATCAGAGATTGATTTATGAGTTATTGATTATGTAATTGGAGTATTATGTGATTGAATTATATGAGAAGTTATTGGAAGATTGATTATGGATGGAAGATTGTGATTGTTGTTTATTGAGAGTTGTATGTATTTTGGATAGAAGAAGTCTATGATTACAGAAATTTTGTGAATCCAGATTGATTGGAGTGAAGTCTATTATTTCTAGTGTTGGATGGAATTTATGAGTTTTGAGCAGTCTTTTAAGAGTGCAAGGTTACATATTGTTGTTATTAGTTCATGAAGGAGTATTGTTACTGGAAAGAAGCATTGTAGTGTTTCTTGGTGTTTTAGTGGTTTGGAATATAGTTAATCGTGTGACCCTAATAGGTAAAGTTCATGCGCTTAGTCTTTTCCTATGTTCAAATTCTCCTATATAGGTTTATTTTGAAAGGAATTTATAGAATAAGTAAAATGACAATTACATTTTTAAAGCTTTTTGGACTTAGTAGTTGAAATCAATAGCCAATGGTATTGCTACAAGTATTATTTTTTAATCTTAAGTCTTGTACCTAGTTTCAACTTTAGCTTCATAATCTTGAAATACATGTATGGTTGAGTAGAGTTTTTTTTTAAATATATCTGCATCACTTGATCTTCATTTCTTTATTTGAATTTTATAAGTTCTTCCAAAAAATCTTCTAAACCTATCTCTATATATACACATGTATCTTATCATCTTTATCAAATACACCTATTCTTTTTAAGTCTTTTTTAGATTTTTTTTATCTTTTTTCTTTTATTTTTGTAGGTCATTAAATTATATATATATTTCCATTCTATAATAGTATTCTATAAAAATCCTTAAATTCTTCATTAATTCTTGATAATTAACCATTATATAGATAATTTTAATTATATTTATGGTTAGCATGTACAATTAGGAATTGTATTGCTTTCTTACCATCTAAGCTTATGATACAAGCATATGCTAATCCATCATCCAATACTTTAGTTTCCAATATCATAGTAGTAATATATGGTTGTTTAAGAATCACTAGATATGAAGTGGTGTCTTGAATAAAGAAATTTTATTCAGCGCTTATATTTCTAATTTTTATCTTTATATTAGAAGGAGCACTATAGAAGTTACTTCCCTTATTTGTAAATTTTTTTTAAAATAATATTAATTTTAAGTCCATGATTAATAAGAGTAATTACTAGATCTACTAAGTCTCTCATCTTCACTAAAGTTTCTGTAGTAGCTTTGGTCTAATGACCTCTAGTATATTAACCAAAGTCCTTTTCATTAATCTTATTTTTATCCAAACAAAATTGAACCTTATAATTGATGTAACATTTAGTTAATTCTATTTTATTTTCTTTTCTAAATGTTATATCCAAAACATTAGATATTATAGACTATCCTATCAATTTATCTTTTTTATTTGATATTGCCTATAATGGCATTATAAAATTCTTTTTTTGTAATGCCTAAATTTTTTCATAAAATAAATTTAATTTTGATATTCAATACCTATAAAGGTAAATTTCACATGTCAATCCAAATTACAAGATGGCATCAATTAAGACTTGCTTGTAATTGATAGTATGAAGTGAATAAAATAAATAATAAAAAATTATCACTAAGTTTTGAATTATATAATTGCTTAATTTTTGACTTCAGTATGGTATTCATAAACACTCAATTAGCCTAGGAACCTTGAGTGGCCTTCAAATCTTGCTTCATTTCTTCATGATGGCTCCCAAAGTAGTAAAATTTATTTTGATCAAAGTCTTAAAAATTACTAAAAAATTCTAAATAAATTCTAAAAATTCCTATAATGGTTTTATAATATTAATATCAATTTAAAACTATGATTTTCTATCTTTATAATTTTTTATAGTAAAAAATTAATTTAAATCTACTATAAATCCTACTTTCTATATAAATAAATAAAAAGATATGAGATTCTTTTTTATTCTTCTTCTAATTATTAATTAATTATTTTTAGTTTTTTTATAAGTAATATATATAGATATAAGGTTAATTTAAGTATTTATCTAAATAAATAATCTTTAATAATCAATAATAAATAAAAATATTAAATCAATTAAAATAATTATTTCTAAGATTTATTAAGATTTTATTTTTATAATTAATATTCTAATTTTCTATTTGTCTAAGGATTCCTATACAATTCACCATATATTATGATTTTAAGCACTCTAAATACTTTTTTTTATTCTAAAATAACTAATGAGTTGATTTGATGACTCACAACATCTTTTCTTCTAATATCTCTTTTAAATCTAGAACTGCCTCAATATCTGATTGCAACTTGTAAGTAGTACACTTATTCTTCTCTTCATTTTTACCAACTTCCATTCTTTCTATTTTTTTTTTTTTGGTAGTAGTACATATTTAGGATGTGATGTTGATAATCAAATTTCGGATGGTCTTTTACCTTGTAATATATGTATCTCTTTATTTTGGTTTATTTTTTAATCTCTTTGAAATCTTATTTTGTTATTTGGCTCCTTAAGGTTTTCATCTATTATATTTTTACTCCTTTTCATATCCATGAAAGCTTCATATTGGGATTTTACTAAAAAAATATGTATAGACATGACATCAACAAGATCATCCCATCTTGTAATATCTATGATCATTGTAGCTGACTTCAATAATTATTCATTTTTTTTTAATTTTTTTTATCCATATTGGTTATATCATGATTCCATAAATTTCTCATCTCTACATGCTTGTCAAAGATATCTTTCTTCTCTCTTGCTACCTCAATACCATAGATAATAGCTTTTCTTAATGCTATAGATTATTACGATAAATGATCATTTAAATTTTTTTTCATCTCTCCTTTTCTAAAATTAATTTTAAATAATTCGCATATATCTTGTAAGACTATCTTTCTATCTTTTTATAAAATTACTCCTTATTACAAACTATTAGTAAAATCTCCACATTTCTTGTAAGGATGGTCAATATTATTGCACCAAATATATCTTTGTATATATCTTAGCTTTAATATAGATTCGCCCTCAGGTATTCTTTCTTTCTCTTCTACCTTTGCTAATTTGATTTGTAAGTCTTTCATTCCTTTTATTAACTTTTTAATTATATTTATATATAGTATAATTATAGATATAGGAATTAAAGTAATAGATATTGATATAATAGGTTTTAGTGGTTGCCTATAAGATATTGTTATTGATGGAGGTGTAGTTTCTTATCTTACCACCAACTTACCTCTCTAGTATTTTCTTTTAGTAAGTATATCCTCCACCTCAAGGAACTTCTTCTAATAAATAGTAAGTCCATCGTTTTTTGTATTATCTCTTCATAATAATTCCAACTCTTTTTATAATTTATTATTGGTTGA